CCTACTCACCCATTCTACTCACCTATTCTCACTTTCTATACCGAAAATTCTACTTCCATTCTACGCCAAATATTCCGACACAGCATCTAAATACTTAATTCGATACCCGCATGCCAATAAATATGAAATAATCGAGAAGAAATCCTTAAGGGTTTTCACGGCTGGGTATGGCTGACGCAGAACGGAACGATATACTGCAAATGCTCCGGGTGGATGCATCTGAAGAGATACGGATGCTGTCTGAGAACAGAACAGAAGACACGGGGTTGGTGCAAGAGCCAAAAGGCAGAGGAGAGGGAATCGGAAGAGGGCGAAACGGAGAATCGAGACTCGATGCACTGCGGAGACAGCATAGCCATCGGTCTTGCCGCGGTTTTCCAAGACCCTCGAGTTTATCTCTGGGAGTTTATCTTCGCGAACGGCAGGAAAGTGATCTAAGTTTCATCCGGTTGGCGGCCCGTCAGACTCCAGGCTATTCGACTACTGGTTATCTTTCAATGGTGTCAAGAACCTTGCCCAACACTGCTCTCGATAATACCCTTTACGCGTAGTTACAAGGCGATCCATCATACCGCTAAAAACGTATTTTGTAGCGTGCATAATGCGATACAAGCTTCGGGACGTGGCGACATTTTGTGATTTAACGTTGCTACCTTTCCTTCTTCAATTGTAATTTTATTAATATTCGACCATGTGATTGACTGATGACTGGTGCTGATCTCATTGTATTCAGAGTGACAGCTTTGAAGATAAATACATACTGTACTAAGAGACAGAAGTTTCTTACAAACCAACTTTGTGCAAATTAAAGATTAAAGTAGCTGGGTCTCCTTTTTGGATTGTAATATTATTAATATTCGACCATGTGATTTACTGATAACTGGTGCTGATCTTATTGCATTTAGTGCGACAGCTTTAAAGTTAAAGAGCAGTTGAAAGGACAAAGACTTTGCTAATTTGAGCAGCCTTAAGCCTTCAAATCAGGTCCACCTCAGAATCTACCTTGGGTTCAAAGCCATAACTTGGAATAAAATTTCAACAACTTCCACAATTATGTAATCAATCTATATATTTGAGAAAGAAGATAAATCACAATGATCCCAAACTAAATGACCTTAGAGCTAAACTAGAACTTAGAGCAAAACAGGTGAATACAACGGTTAAACTGTACAATTTCTTCTCTAACCCATCAACATCCCGTTAGTCCCGAGTTATTAGTTATCAGTTAGTTTCGACGGCATTGTCAATATTCTCTTGGACCAAGTTATTGATCGTCCGTTCGGAAGATTCCTGGCACCGGGGGTCACTTCTGGTAGACTACTCGTCCCGTAGAAAGCAGAGTGGTAGTTATCCCCGAAAAGAAGATCGGCCAACGAACTTATCGATTGTATTTTCGAACTCGTCCTCTACGGACAGTGTCTGCTGACTGATGCACACTGACGCGGATCAAAAGTGCTTCAACCTCCTGATCCTCGTCAAATTTCGCCGCACCCGGCTCCTCGTTTCAACCCTTATTCGTTTCAATTTGTTTGTCCGCCATATCCCTCGAAATTCTGGATATTGTATGATCCTAATCGTGATTGAACTTCGATCATAGGAGAATCATCTCGAGAAATCGTGAAGCATTACAGTAATAATTAAAACGATTTATTCAACTGAATTATAACAAAAAGCTGTTGATTTTTAGTCTGCAATCTTTCTGTAAAACAAGTCGTTTGTTCGACTCATAGTTTGAGAACCATTGCCCCTATATTTCATAACATATTAGCCGACAATAATGCAACAAAAACTGTTTCAAATCGCAGATATTATTTTTCAAGGTAAAAAGCCTATACTACGGATATTAATCTTTCAAGACCAGCGTCGATTAAAATAAATCTAATTGTCTATATTGCAGTCATAAGGAAACGTAAGTCAGAACTCTACAGGGAATTGATTTAATTGAAAGGGATCAGGAATTGTTTGTTTACAGGACTACGAACGATTGCAGATTAGTCCTTAGACTTGCAGATTATTGAAATACTTAACTAGTTTTTTTGCGTTTCCAGTGAATTGCTCAATATTTGGCCGGAAGAAGAAGCAGTACAAGGATAAGTATCTCGCGAAACACAACGCAGTCTTTGACCAGCTGGATCTGGTCACCTACGAAGAGGTCGTTAAGCTTCCTTGTAAGTAAAACATTTGTTAAACAAACTAAATATTACGGATGTCAACCCACGAGTTGGCGCGTGATCCAAAGTAAAAGAAGCTCCCACCGTGAACACTTTCAGTTACGTTTCAGTGAATAAGAATAATAATGACAATAACAACTACTGAACGTAGCACTATCTCACTCTCGAGACGCCTGTCGTTTTTGGCCTAATTGTGACCGCTCGAATTAATACCACTGAAAATACGTGTGAGGCTCTATTCTGACGAATTGTAGCTCTTCTAAGGACATCAGCCTCTCACGCGCCAACTCGTGGGTAAAATGAGTAAAACTCTGTGAAATGTATTAACTCCTGTGTAAAATAACAAACGTGAATATTGATGCGACTGCATTTAATTAAAATTAATGAAAGTCACTTAGAATTTTTATTTCAACCTACCTAAACAATACATTGGGTAACAATAAGGTAACAATAAGTCTTCAAAGAAAATATAATAATGAACTCTTCAGAGAAAGAAAAACTGACAATACTCTTGAAAGAGAAGAATAAAGTATAAAGCCTTGTTCAAAGGCAATAAAGTGAAAAAAATTTTAATCAATTTGACGAATCATGTTTATAACATGAATATCTTTGTTAGAAACCTTTTATCAAAGCAATTGTTTTAGATAGACCATACTCTATTGGACACACGAATCGCATTTATGCTATAAACTCGATGCGAAACCGTTTCTATGTTGCCCTTCTCGCAGATATACGGACAAATCAATGATTCAATAGACGGAACGAATAACTTCAGAAACTTGGAAATGTTAACGTGTAGCAAAAGTTCGGCAAGCTGATCAGAGTAGATCGACCCGCATGTCGTTCTTCTTGAAAAGACTTGCCGGTTATTCGCGTTCGATTCGCTAACAGACGACTAAGAATGATGTCAGCGGAGCGGAAGAGAACGTGAAACTGTTTGTACTGTGTAGATATGCATATGCAAACTACATTTGGCGTGTGTTATACGGGGTTGGATGTTTTTATTAGCAGGGGATTATATAGTAGGCATAATGAGAAGGAAAAATTAAAAGGCCACATTTGCTGTAATTATATTTTGAATTGTAGGCTTTTGGATGAAATAAATCACAATTTGTAAATTTTCATATTTTAAGATTTGGGAAGTACCAAAATTATTAATGAAATATTCAGAACTTTTTATTTATGGATTTTTTGATTTTTTAATTTTTGGATTTTCAATATTTCAAAGTAGTAAACTTCTAAATTTCTAAATTTCTAAATTTCCAAATTTCCAAATTCCCAAATTATTAAATATCCAACTCCCCAAATTCCCAATTTTCAAATTTCTAAATATCTAAATTTCTAACTTTACAAATTCCCAAATTACTAAATTTCCAACTCTCCAAGTTCCCAATCTTCAAACATCTAAATTTCTAATTTTCCAACTTAACAAATCTCCAAATTTCTAAATTTCCAAACCTCTAAATTATTAAATTCTCAAATTTCTTAATTTCTAAATCTTTAGTTCTCCAAATTTTCAACCCTCAAAATTCACAATTATCAAATTTCTAAATTTCTAATTTTCCAACTTGACAAACCTCCAAATTTCTAAGTTTCCAAACCTCTAAATTATTACATTCCCAAAATTCTTAAATTCTAAATTTTTAATTCTCCAAATTCTCAACTCTAAAAATTCACAATTATCAAATTTTTAAATTTCTAATTTTCCAGCTTGACAAATCTCCAAATCTCTAAATTATTAAATTCTCAAATTTCTTAATTTCTAAATTTCAAAATCAATAATTTATTAAATTCTCATATGTAATTTCTAAATTTAATTTAAAATTAAATTTAAAATGAATTTCCTAATTCTTCATATTTTAAAATCCTGAAATTTACAATGGCGCATTTTCAATTTTGTAAAACACAGTGTCATACATGTTGCATTGATCATGACAAAATGGCAGCATTCGTTCAGCTGTGATTATTTCAATAAAAAGAGATTACGTGTCCCATCACCCAATAAAAAGTTTTATATAGCCTCTTCAATAACAAACTTGATCCGAACTACATTCATATAAATCAATCAACATCGTTTTGTTTCTCGAATTTCCAACTTCCGCTGTTCCGTAAGAAAAGTACGAAGAGGAAGGTTTTATTATTACTTCACTTTGTTTGCAAGTAAGGTTAATAAACGCTGTCTCACCCTTCTACGATGAAACGTTTCAGTTGGCTCGATATGAATCGCATTGCACCGTGAAACGAGATATTTAATCGCAGAAATATTCGAAGCAGCTTTGAATTCGAATACCATGCATCGACATAGACTCGAGAAGTGTACAACGTACCTTGTATACCTCGCTGCGTACATTCGAAGGATTATAACACGTAAACTGCAAAAAGAGATGGCATCGATGATAACTTGTTGAAATTTTACGACGAATATTCCGCATCGATGGATACATTGTTCTAGAACGTGAATGAAATTGATGTAGTTATCATGGATATAATACAGAGTCTGGAATATGTTTCAATACTTTAACGGTTTTTGGCGCCTTACCTTTCATATTTTTATTTCATTATTTTTATTTCTTTATCTTGAAGCACTCACTCAACACTTATGAATTTATCGAAACCCGAGTCACAATGTACAAGAAAAACTACACTTTCACTTAATTCTTTGAAATATTACCTTTAATTATTACCTTTAAAAATTTTTTAATACATTAACGTCTTTGTTCTTTAAACGCGCGAAACAAAATGTCCTCAAATCAAAGGACCGTTAATGTTCATGATGGTGCCACCTGGTGGCACCTCCACGCATTTCTCTTTTTCGTTAGGTATGGTAGCGATGCAACCTTTTAAAGTATGTACGTTTGTTTGTTTGGTTAGTTCAGAAGTTTTTTAAATTCTGTTTGTTATAATGTAATTTATAAGTGGAGAAGGGAACATGATAAACTGCTGTTCAGGAGTATTCATAAAGTGTTTATATTTTTAAGGCTTATATTCAGTCTAGTAATTTTAAATGATAAAAACAGTGAGTAAAATTTTGTTTACATGACTCACTTTTTGGAGGGGCTGTGTAAATATGGTGTAAATATTTTGGTGTACATTTGGTGAATGCAGTAATTGGATTTAACTTGCTTTGATGAAGGGAAACATAAATGGATAATGAGCGATTCTGATGATACAGATGTTTTGCTCCTAATTCCGCCTGACCTCTTCCTCGTACCGTCATCTTCAGAGTCTGACGTTAGCTCTGATCAACTGAACACAGACTATAGTAAAAGATCTGGAGTGATATCAGAACTTGTGGAGCATATGCAGTCATTGGAAAACAGAATCTCTGCTATTGAATCCAAAGATAATAGTTTAGACGCTACTTTGCTAAACAATTCGTTGGATTCGAAAATTCAAAACACTTTGGGTGCCAAGCTCAGGCAGACATTACCTAGAACTAGGTTCTCTGTAGGTCAGAGTTCTAGTTTACAGAATACACCTGTAAAACCCAGTCAATCCTTATCTGTTCCAACAACTCCTAATTCATTATCAAATCATATTAATTTCCATCAGAATGATGTGAAGTCAGAGGGTCATTTTTCTATGGCTATTGGTACTAACGCGACTAACACTAACGAGCACAGTAAGAGTAAGCATGAGCCTGTAATGTCCCAATCCTCTGTGGTGGTATCTTCTGCTGCTTGCAATGTGGGTTTCCCGCATGTTACTTTTTCCAGAAGGGAACCGTATTCTTATTCAGACAATTGTACAAGTACAAATAATATGTACGTTAAACCTTCTAATCAGTTGCATTCAATGCCATCTACCTCAACTTTGTTCAGCGCAACGGAACAGCCACATTCGTCATATTCTAAAAGTAGTATACAAGAAATGGAACTCTTCGAAGTTGATGAACTGCTTCAAGAAATGGAAGCTACTGAATTAGAGTTATTGAAAAGAATCAATAGGGTATCAATGCATAAAGGTGTTAAGGAACAAAACGGTGTATTATCGTCTAATCAAAATGACGATAATTCTAGATGCAGTAATTTTAATAGCATTAGTAGACATCCTATTAGTAGGAAGTTGGAATTTGAGTCAAGAGATTCAAGTCAGTATCATGACTTTCTGTCAAGTTTACCTCAAAAAAAATATTCTGAAGCTTTTCCTGATATATCCTTACCATGTGATAATTCATTCCAATCGAATGAGACTGATAAAATGATCTCAGCATTCAAACCATGGGAACAGAATACCCAGAAATCGTTTTCAAAGACTGGAGAAATAGAAAATACGAGAGACTTAAAGAACATAAGTAGTGTTAGTAAGTCAGTTACAAAAGCAACTCCTGGGAAAAAGCAAGAAATAGTTACTGAACAGGCTACAACATCAGATGCCTCATTACATAATGAATTAACAAAATGTAACACTGCAACTGCAACAACAAGTACAGAATTTAATTTACAACATTTACCACAAACATATCAAACTTCTGAACAGAATGGGAATGTAAGACATATGAAAGAATCAAGTGATGGTCCATTTGTTAAAAGTATTTGCCATGCTTCAACAAATACAGAATTTTTCCCAAGGTATTTCCATCAAATTGTCAAGTGTTTAAAATTAGCGACATAACAATTTCATTTTTTTTTTTTTGTGGTAGGAAATCCCAACGACTTTTATCATTATCTGATTTCTGGGACAATAATGGTACTAAGTCACAAGAAGAAATTCGTAGAATTAAATTAGAAGAAGAAAAATTTCGTCGGGAGGTATGTATTTAGGCTAACGCGTTAGTTCCGATATTATTTTTTTAAATAAAATGATACAGTCAACAGTATGAATATTTATGATACTTTATAGCATTGTGAACACTTAATTCAAGAGCTTCAGAAACGATTGTTAGAACAGCAGGAGAAGGTTGCTGTAGCACTTAGAGTAGATAATGAAAAGAATGAATTGATAGCACAATTTCACAATGCGTGGTCTAAATTAAAACAGCGCGTTTATGTGTTAGAAAGTGAATACAATGCTTTGCAAACAAATCTTAAACATGTGACAGAGAAACATCAGTTAGAAGTTTCAGAATTTCAATCACAAATTAAACGTTCTGAAGGTGAATTGTCAAAGGCTCTAGATTTAGCTGCAGGTTACAAAGAAAAGAATGACACAGCAATGAAAGAAAGGGTAGATTTATTAAAGAGTCATGCTGATGAATTAGAGACATACAAGTCATTTGTGCAAGAAGCAGAAAACAGATATGAACAGCTAAAAGTAGAATATAATAAATTATCAGATAGAAGTCAACAGACTGAAGAAGTATTAAAGAATCTTCAGCAAGAGTTAGGTAAAGAGAGATTAAAGGGTGGAGAAGTTAGAAATGAAATGGATGTTATCCATAAAGCTTTGGATACTTGTGAAGCTGAACTAATGGTTCTCAGACAAGAAAAAGAAAATTTACAGTTGAAGTTAAAAGAAGAAAATAATCGAAATGCCATTCTAGAACAAAAAAATATTTCACTGCTTTCATTGCTTGATGATGCTAAGAAGGCAGAGGTAATACATTGATTAGAATTGTCTTTAAATGTCGAATATTGATTTGTTAGTGATATTCTTGATTCCAGAAATTAGCTAAGGATGAAGCGAAAACGCTTGAGGTAGAACAAGAAAAACTTAGGTCAGAATTACAAGAAATCTATCAGAAGCAAGTTGATGAAGTAGTAAAAGTAAAGTTACAGGAATTTCAAACCCAACTTGATACAGCTGAATCAGAATTTCTTGAGGAATTAAAAACTAGACAGCAAGTTATTGCTGAATGTGCAGCTAGGAAAATTAAAGATATCATAGATAAGTATGTTGAGATTCTTTTAAAATATTATTTTATCAACTTAAGGCAAATATGTATATGAAAAATAAAAATGTATTCAGGCATCAATTAGAAATCAATTTATTAGAGGAGAAACATAAAGAAGAGAAACGATTATGTGAGCTTCAGTTAGCTGAAGCTTTACAGAAATCAAGTATGTTAGAAACACAATTGAATTGTCAACGTGCCACTAAGTCTCAACTTGCAGAGCAGCTTCATTCTGTGATGCAAAAGCAATGGCAGAAGGCTTTACAAATTATATCAGGTAAAATTACTACTTTCTAATTGCTCTTTGTGGTGTATATAATCTTTGATATTTTATAGGCGGTAACATGGAAAATTTAACACCGCTACAAAAAATTCACGCTGAACGATTGTTCGAGTATAAAGGTCCAAAAAAGTCTGAATCAATGCCAAATTGTTGTACAAAACTCTCTCAAGAACCAATAAGATTGACAACGCAGATGTCCGATGTAAAAAATTTTCACGATTATAATGGAAGTATGAGTAGCATGACGCCAATCGATGATACTCCCTTAACTAGTAGAAAAGAATCGAAAGATGATCTCAGAAAATATATAAAAATGGTAATTTATTTTTATAAATATTTAATGGTTAGGTTAGCTTTACTTGATGGTTATGTAAAAATTTCTTTGAATAAATATTTTGTAGATCGCCGAATTACAGCAATCAAAGGAAGAATTTTCAAAGATCAGAGAAAATATTTCAAGTCCTCCTATAGTTTGCAGAGAAGTTCCACGAAAACATTATTTAAAACAGGAGTCAAGCATAAAGGATGAAGACAGTATTACATGGCAGCCTGTATCAGATGTAAATTTCTCATCAAACTTATTTTAATCTTAATGTGATTTCAATATTAATTCTGTTTGATTTCAGGCGACTCATGACACTAGTGAATATATACCAATCCCTCAAAAACTGTTTAACAAAGGGGATCAACAAAAAGTTAAACCGCCATGGAAATGACGAGATATCAGTAATTTGATAAACGATATTGGTATCGATGAAGTTGATTGCGTCCAACCAATGTATTTAGCTAGCCATAATTAAGATATATGCAACAAATATTTTCTACTTTTAATAAATAAATTTTATACAAGATTATTCTTTTGGTCTATTTTGTGTGAATAAAAAATTATGCGCGATAACTTTTTCTCCTTTCTCTAACTTCATTATCGCGTTATTTTACTCGGACTGTTATCTCATAGAGGAAAAGGATGTTCGATAAAGAAGCAGAGTAATAGATAATGTGCGTATCTGTTTCTTCAGATTAGTGTTAATTTATGTACATTTGCTTGGAATTGGTTCGAATGACGCTATTATTTTTGATGATAAGCTCTTCTAAAAAATTCTAAGAACATTATAATATGAAAGTAAAATACCTTTAAAAAATTTCATTTTGACCTACTAGAACTTGTGGACTTTGGAATTAATTTTGGGACAAGATTAGAAATTTTGGAACATTGGAATATTTGTTTGAAACAAATATGGCAGCACAGTTAGTTTTAGTAATCTCAAAGATAGTCATCGAATCTGAAAACCATTAGTCATCAAGTCAGGAGCGTGCGAAAGCTTAAAGGATTATCTGGAAATGAGTAAGACGTTTATTGTTACATTGTGTACTATGTCTCATTACTTTCCTTACTTGGAAACAAATCATGTTTCAAGCACAGACATGGCTCTGGAAGTTTTCCCTGTAACGTGGTGTGAGTTGTGTGTGAGGAGACATTTATAGTAGGTACTGTATCATGTACCGTGAATCACGAAGATGACCAAATCACTCATTTCGGACACGTTTCCGGTTGGACGAGAGGGTATGTCGAAGATATTCACAGAACTGTTACTGAATTGTTTATCGACGTTTCTTGAATGGTAATTGCGGGGGGAGTGGAACATGACGTACTGGAGTTAAACGTGCATATCAATTGTCAATGTGTATGTTAATTACGGCACGTTTATCAAGATAAAAATTAAATGTTACCATTATTTTGTACGTTTAGTGCATGCAAACATTCTGATGTCTTCTTGTGATATATATTTTTAAAATAATTGACTAAATATTAAAATTCGATAGTCAATATTTTAATCAATTGTATTTGTTATTTAATATGTAAGATATTATGAACTTGTTTGTATATTAAATAAAAATTTGGTATGTTTTAATATTAATATTAAGGATAATTAAAATATTATAATGATGGTTCCAGTTATTTGCAAAATCTGTATTTTGTATATAATTAAAACAAGTGAAATTGTAATTTATTGATGCTTAGATTTTTATTATTTTAGTAAAATAATTCCATCAGTAAATTACTGATAACCCAAATATTCTATCAAATCAATATTGCATCGTTCCAATTAAAGCTTGAGATATTTAATTAAAAAATTTTTATTTTGATCACAAATTTTTTAATAAATATCTGATAGCGTTAAATCTCCACAATTTAAATACGTAATAATTAAACGAAATAACTTACAGAAATTTTAGTTTTTAAACATTAGCTTATAAATTAGAAGAGTAACATTTATCGTATGTAAACTCAATCTTTTGTTCGGCTCAATTTCCATCAAAATCTGTAAGTTTTTGTTAGAACGATGTAAGTATTAACTACCGATCTTTCAAATTTAAACTGAATTCAACACATGTTGAAACAGCTGACGTTCTATAAAAACGAAGATTAAAGTACAACTCCCAAATGGTTTTACTAAAATAAACAGAATCTGTTTCCGAATCTCTCCCGCAGTTTCTACAATTTCGCAAAGGATCAGCTTCAATCTAGTCGAGTTTCAGACCATCCATTAACTAACCCATAACAGAAATACAAGTGTATTCTTTGTTAGATATATTCAGTAACAAGATACGTATTATAACATGTTAAATTATTTATTCATGTTATTAAACATGCTAGTTCCATTTATTTAATCTGCAACTGATAAGTATTATAAATTCGTTTTGACGAAATGTAATTTAACTCTTAGGGTTCGACGAGGTAATAGCGGATCTATGTATGCATTCCAAACTTTAAAATGATATTAAAGTCGATAAGTATATGTTTATTTAGAAATTTGACGCTTTATATTGTTTAGATGTTACTTCGAATTTTTTGCAGCCATTGATTTTGAGATTTATTTTGTTAGTGCTATTTTTTGAATTCTATATGTGCTTTATGTGATAGTATAACATATGTGATATGTTCTATGTGATACATCACATATGTGATATGTTCTATGTGATACATCACATATGTGATATGTTCTATGTGATACATCACATATGTGATATGTTCTATGTGATACATCACATATGTGATATGTTCTATGTGATACATCACATATGTGATATGTTCTATGTGATACATCACATATGTGATATGTTCTATGTGATACATCACATATGTGATATGTTCTATGTGATACATCACATATGTGATATGTTCTATGTGATACATCACATATGTGATATGTTCTATGTGATACATCACATATGTGATATGTTCTATGTGATACATCACATATGTGATATGTTCTATGTGATACATCACATATGTGATATGTTCTATGTGATACATCACATATGTGATATGTTCTATGTGATACATCACATATGTGATATGTTCTATGTGATTCATCACATATGTGACATGTTATAAGTGATACTGTCACATTTATATATATGTAATATGTGACATTATTGCATATGTGAAGTTTTTTATGTGACACTATCACATATGTGATATTTAATATATGGTATTATGACGTATGTAATATTTATTACTTGATATTTCATTTGTGACTTTATTACATATGTGAAGTTTTGTATTTGACACTATCACATATGTGATATTTAGTACGTGGTACTATCACGTATGTGATGTTTCATATGTGACACTACAACATATGTGAAGTTTTCTTTATGACACTATAACATATATGAAGTTTTCTATATGACACTACAACATATGTGATGGTTAACATGTGGTATTATCATGTATGCAATATTTATGACGTACTATTTCACACATGACACTACTACATATGTGATATTTTGTACGTGACACTATCATATATGTGACATATCCTACGTGATACTACTACAACTGTGATATTTACCATGTGACATTATCACATATGCAACACATATGAGATACTACTACATACGTGGTATTCACTAAATGATTCTCTCACATATGTGATACGTACAATGTAATAATAATAGACTATTATCTTTGTTTCTATACAAATTCTCGTCCAATTTATTACTTCTACAATTTATAATTCCTACAAAAATTTATTTTTTACCGTACAAAAATCATCCCTAAAAAATCTCCAGTTCGAAAAACCACATCACATCCCTATGTTTCATCTGGCGTTTCTGGATCACCGTAAGACCAAGCCAGTCCGCGTTCATATTTACCTTGAAGGAGAGGCGTACACCGACGTTACATACAGGACTATAAAAATCCGCGAAGATGCGAGTAACGTGCAAGAGCAGGATAGGAGCGGTTTATAACAGTCGATGCCCTTCTTTAGCTGCGGCGACGATCACGCCTACGATCCTGGGCAAAGCTGGCGCCTGCCACGAGGATCCGTATGTGCGTCCCGCGGAACAAGTTGCCGATTGAAAACGAAAGAGCAGCAAGAATGCAAAGGGAGGAACGTGATAGTGACCACCCCCTCTTCGTTTGTGTAGATAGTAGTAGTCACGAGCGCGTCCTCTGTTCATTCTGTCCGGTCTCGGTGGCCTTTAGTCGGCCAGGCCTAAGCGAAGAAGTAAGAAGTTCCGCGTGTGCCAAGTGGCTAGAAGCTTGAATGCGACCGAGAGAATGCAGCCCGGAACGAGCTGTTCGAGATTCTGTTCGCTGATAGTGCCGCTACTGCTGCTGGCCTGTTTGATTGATGATACTGCCGGTACTTGGAAGAGGCGGGAGGACAAGACCAAGTGTCCCAAAGTAAAGGGCATACGGAATTTTGACATATCCGAGGTACGTGGCTGTATACGACGGTTCGATTATTGTTCATGGAGAGAAAGAACATTAGGGTACATGCTTTTGCGAAGGATGCTTTTAGAGGTGGACACTTTTTGAAGGACTTTGTGTACTAGAAAGTTTCATGAATTCGTTTGGAGAAAACATAGGTATTTCATACTTTAAGTATAAAATTGATATCTAGCTCTTTTGGTGTCCAGAGTTTGAGCTTGCTTTATTCGTGAATTGAGATCTAGTTATCACTCTAGTTTCCAGCCCATAGTTATGGACAACATACTACATATATATATCTATGGATCACACTATGATCTAGTTATGCAAACACTATCATATTTGACTACGTCTATGAAACACTATATATTATATATTTATCTGAGGATAACACTGTACACTATATCTATATATAACACGAATTGCTATATGCTTACTTATGGATCACATTGTACACTTACCTATGTACTTACACATACTCACATCTATAACTCACCTATCTATAACTTACAGTATATTTTTGCCTATGTATAACAGTATACACTGCTTATTTACCTATGAATGATACACTTCACTGTTCAGCATACAAAGTTAACTTCACCGTTAAGTTTGCAAACCATTGGTCCACGATGCTGAAGAAACAGATGTACTCAATTCGCGAACAAATATAGTTTCAAACAATTTTAGTGCGAAACTTATTTATATATAAATATGATAGTTATGATATTACTTTTTCATGAAACTTATTTAAATTTATATTTAAGTAGCTAATATTTAAATTGTTAAATAGTTTCAAGAATTTAATTTTTGTTATTCAGTGATGTTCAGTCTTGAACCTTATTTGTTATTGTCTGATTTATATAGTATGTACAAAAATTATTATACATTCTTCATCATTGAATTTTTGCAATTTGATCCAACATCAAGTTTCTACGACGTATTTCACAAACGTATATTTAGTCAAAATGTTTTTGTAATGTAATTGATTCGAAACTTAATGTGTGGACGAAACACCCGTGACGAAATAAATGGACTGAGATAAAACCTTGAAAACCTTGAGATTTAAAAGTTCGGAGATAAGGTCTCATGTTAGAAGAGATTCATAAGACAGTCTCCTACATTAGATATTCAAATATGACATGGATATAAAATATCCAATTGACAGAGTAATAATTATATTATCAAAGATGGAGGTACGAGTGTTTGAAGGGTGTAAATTTTAATACATTTGAGATATGTAAATGCGAACGTTTGAATATGGTTTAATAATAGATTCAAGGCAGGTGAAGTTAGTAGCTTAGAATTAAAATGTGATATTGATGTAAATACTTCATTGACAGTGTAATTATACTGACATAATTGATGATTTGAGATACCAAGTGGTTCAAAGTGAAGGGGATTTTGATATATTGGAGATACGTGTGTGTGATGTTCGATTATTGTTTGGTACTGTAATGGGCAAGTGATGTGCCCGATGAAGAGCTCAAGGGCACCTGCGTGCATGGTGCGTGCAGAGAATGACATGTGGGACAAAGAAGAATTCTGGTTCTTGAGATTATTAATATTTTAGCTGAGATATTTTGTCATTTGGTAATTTGGTAATTTGGTAATTTGGTAATTTGGTAATTTGGTAATTTGGTAATTTGGTAATTCGGTAATTTGGTAATTTGTCAATTTGGTAATTTGACAATTTGGTAATTTGTGAATTTGGTAGCTAGACAATTTGGTAATTTGTCAATTTGGTAATTAGACAGTTTGGTAATTTGTCAATTTAGTAATTTGTGAATTTAGTAATTTGTCAATTTTGTAATTTGTCAATTTAGTAATTTGTCATTTTGGTAATTTGTCAATTTAGTAATTTGTCATTTTGGTAATTTGTGAATTTGTGAATTTGGTAATTTGTCAATTTTGTTGAAGACAGAAATCAGTATTAAAATTTATATACTTGAAGAATTGAAAATCCTAAGAAATTTCTGAACCTCCAACTTCCAAATTTACCAAATTCCCTAACTCTCAACCCTCCCTATCCCCAAATTCCCCACAAATTTAATTTCTTTCTAAAATAAAAACAAACTCATAAACTCAATTCACAAACTCTTACTTTACATCATATTCCCAAAATCAACATAAAATTGGCAAAGCATCAAAACCATTAAACTAAACAAAACCACATATATTAAAAAATAATTGCCAAAGTCAACAAAGTCTTAACCCAACACACCTTATTAAATAATACTTTACGACAATATTAAATGTTCTATATTACTTCGCATATTTGCAATCAGAACCTGAATCTGCCTTAATTGTTAGGTCAAAATCGTTCGACATCTAGTTACGAATCTCTCGTTGATATTCCGATTTCACAAATAGACGATCACGATGGATTTCCGATCAATATGCACGCTGAATATATAATAATAATTCGGTGTAGCGCAATCGGTGCGCGTTTGTTGAACACGCCTAGGTTGTGTACTAACACGATAACAGAAATTACAATTTCCTCCTCGCTTTGCGACACAATTTTCGTTATAACAACGTGAAAGATGCATTGTGTGTACATAACGTGTCCATATGACAGTTTCACAGTTGCAATTATGAAATGCAGTGACGTATTAGGACCCTTAGGTACACTACGCATATCAAATCTCACAACATAACGTTTCTAAGAGAAGTTAGTCAATTTTCGCTTAAGCATAATTTTATTTAGGTACAGAAGTTAATACAAGTAATTTAAAATTACTGAAAATATTTTATTTTTCCAAAGAAAAGAGTTTTTAAGTCTCACAAAGCTTTTTAGTACTTTGTAGTACTTTATAGTACCATAATTGTTAACTCAAGTACATTTTAATAAATATAAAATACAAAATAAAACTTTTGGAAGATTTTCAAATTATCAAATTGTCTAATTATCAAATTGACAAATTACTAAATTGTCAAATTACAAAATTGTCAAATTACAAAATTGACAAATTACAAAATCGACAAATTACCAAATTGTCAAATTACAAAATTGAGAAATTACAAAATTACCAAATTACCAAATTGACAAATTACCAAATTACCAAATTGACAAATTACCAAATTACCAAATTACCAAATTACCAAATTACCAAATTACCAAATTACCAAATTACCAAATTACCAAATTACCAAATTACCAAATTACCAAATTACCAAATTACCAAATTACCAAATTACCAAATTACCAAATTACCAAATTACCAAATTACCAAATTACCAAATTACCAAATTACCAAATTACCAAATTACCAAATTACCAAATTACCAAATTACCAAATTACCAAATTACCAAATTACCAAATTACCAAATTACCAAATTACCAAATTACCAAATTACCAAATTACCAAATTACCAAATTACCAAATTACCAAATTACCAAATTACCAAATTACCAAATTACCAAATTACCAAATTACCAAATTACCAAATTACCAAATTACCAAATTACCAAATTACCAAATTACCAAATTTCCAAATTGTCTAATTACCAAATTTCCAAATTACCAGATTTCCAAATTGTCTAATTACCAAATTGACAAATTACCAAATTACCAAATTACCCAATCTCCAAATTACCAAATTACCAAATTACCCAATTTCCAAATTGTCTAATTACCAAATTGACAAATTACCAAATTACCAAATTACCAAATTACCAAATTACCAAATTACCAAATTACCAAATTACCAAATTACCAAATTACCAAATTACCAAATTACCAAATTACCAAATTACCAAATTACCAAATTACCAAATTGTCTAATTACCAAATTTCCAAATTGTCTGTGTTCCCTTTCCCTTATTCTTCTCAAACATGTCTTCATTCAATAACTGTAATTACATAAGTAATATTGAAATTTATTATTATAAATTTCATAGAAAAATATTAATAAAATATTTCAGCAATGACAAACTATTTATTTCACAAATATTAGTATGTCACTAATTGAAAAGATGTATTTAACGTAGTTTGAGGTTATGGTTCCAGCGTGCGGGACAACGGGTCGCATAAAATATCGCGAGTCTTCTTTCAAAGAAGGCCTGCAGGCGATTTATTTTTAGGTCTTTATGCGTGTTTAAGGGAAAGCTATTTCGGACTTGTACCTTGCATGCATATAAAACTAGTTGCTTCTATCGAATATGTTCTTCGCTCGCGTGTTGCATTTTGATATTGTTATCCTATTGACCTTCGTGATTTATTGTCTTCCGATAATGATGTCACTAATTCATTCATCGTATTGAATCATTCATCTGCTTCCTATAATTACCTACTGTTATCTTCGGTATGTTGATTGTCAATAATACATTGTGACTATGATCTATTGAGGACCTAATAGAAAAATCGATCAATAATATTGTTATATGTATTTGGTGGATTGGGGAATTCAGGGGTGGTGAATTAGGGAATATCATTAGTAAATTATGACAATATTAATATTTAGGAAGGTTACTAATAATATTACTGATAAATAAATACTGTTAATAATAATTTTTCTCTTTCTCAATTATTATTAATATTAATAATCTGATAAACTTAAAGATTATTAATAATAATTTTTAAAAATTATTAATAGTATTTTAACAGTATTTTTTTCAATAAAGGTGTAATAATTCAAAGTAAAAGAAACATCAATTATTATTAAAAAATTAACAATTTTTCTAACTGTACAATTAATTTAATTTTAATTTGCAAGCTTTTTAGACATTTACAACACTCTTTTAAATTGATATCTTTAATGTATATTCATATGTATTTTTATAAACCAATAAAAATGATTTTGTGTAGATAAATTTGTTTCTTAAATAGTAACTGACAATGTTTGCGATCATTAGCTTTCGATAGGAAAATAAAATGGAACCGATAACCTATGGTTGCTTATGTAACACCTATTTTTAGTGTGATTTCGAATACAGTCATGTAAATCGTGAACGATGGTGCTCAAACCTCTTTGATCTTATGACTGCATTGCTATATTTTATGACTGTTTGAACATCATGTCGAATTACTTCACCTAATTTTTTCTAGTTAAATAATTAAATTATTAGAGTTAATATCTCTAACTTACAAGCATCCTCAACGCTTATCATTGCTTCCTCCGATTACTCTGCTCAATTTCTCCCAATTAAATCATTCTCTTGGAACTGATATTTATAATTCATAAACATCCGTGCGTACAGTCGTTTTATTTGATTAATTTATTTCCTGCCAATTAAATTGTATTCTTAGAATTTACACTTGCGGTGTATTAAACGTTTACATATGTAAATATAAACTTACATAAACTTATATAAACTTAAAATACAAATATATATAAACCTAAAATACAAATATGTATAAACTTAAAATATAAACTTATATTTACATATGTATGTTTACTCTTCTCCCAAATAAAAAGTAAACATATAACCAAGCACCGAATGTCTACTAAAACGTAAGCTTGTTAATCTGAGGACAGTAAAACATATATAGAACGAACTTCGATTAACGTTTCAACGCGAACAACAAGAATACCAATCGCGACCAGTTACACGGATTAGCAATGAAGGTACGCTCTGTGCCAGGGTAATAAATTGCTTGTATTTCTTGCAGTTCCTCGGATCGTGGTATATAGTGCAGTATTATGCAAGTTCAGAAGAAGCCCTCGCTTACAGATGCATGCGTGCTGAATTATCACTTTCGTCCGACAGCACGGAAGTTACCATGAATTTCACTTACAGTTTCACCGACGATCCGATCAACGAACAGCTAGTTGGTAATATTACTTGGAAGATACCATCAACGGAGTTACCTGCTCATTGGGTGCATGCTGAGTATCCTTGTGAGTATCGTGAACATTTCACTTTTGTTGAGGGTCAAGATCAAGAAGTTACTGATCAATTACTGATGTCAATTTACAAGGTTAACTCAAATGTTTATTGTCTATTTGTATATTCATATATTATGCGAATGACACTATGGATTTTGGGAAAAAATATTTATTTCAAATTATGGAATTAAGTCTTTGCTGTGTAGTATGACGCACTCATGACGCACACAGTTTTGATCTTCCTTAATCTTCCAAAATTCCAACCTTCCAAAGTTCCAATCTTTCAAAGTTCTAACATTCCAAAGTTCCAACTTCTGATAGTTCCAACTTTCCAAGGATTCAACTCTTCAAAGTTCCAATCTTTCAAAATTCCAACCCTTCAAAGTTTCAACCCTCCAAAATTCCAATCTTTCAAAGTTCCAACCCTCCAAAATTCCAACCCTTCAAAATTCCAACCCTCCAAAATTCCAATCTTTCAAAGTTCCAACCCTCCAAAGTTCCAATCTTTTAAAATTGCAACCCTTCAAAATTCCAATCTTTTCAAATTCCAACCCTTCAAAGTTCCAACCCTCCAAAGTTCCAATCTTTTAAAATTCCAATCCTTCAAAGTTCCAACCCTCCAAAATTCCAATCTTTCAAAGTTCCAACCCTTCAAAGTTCCAATCTTTTAAAATTGCAACCCTTCAAAATTCCAATCTTTTCAAATTCCAACCCTTCAAAGTTCCAACCTCTGATAGTCCTAACCTTGTAAGGATCCAACCTTCCAAAGTTCCAATCATCCAAAGTTCTAACCTTCCAAAGTTTCAATTTCTGATAGTCCCAACCTTCCAAGGATCCACCCTTCCAAAGTTCCAACCTCCCAAAGTCCCACCCACGCAATGTTTCAACCTTCCAAAGTACTCATCTTCTAAAGTTTGAATCATCCGAAGGTTCAATCTTTCAAAGTTCCAACCTTCCACTGTTCCAACTTTCCAAAGTCCCAACCTTCCCTATGTTCCAACCTTCAAAAGTCCCAACCCTGCAAAATTCTAACCTTCCAAAGTCCCCACTTTCCAAAGTTTGAATCACCCAAAGTTTCAACTTTCCAATGTCCCAACGTTCCTGAATTCCAATTTTTGAAAGTCCTAACCTATGCACATTTCGATCATTCTAAATTCGATCATTCAACCTTCTTAACTTTCGATCTTCCAAATTCCAAAGCTACGAATATTCAAAATTTCTAAAGCTAAAGCTCCAAATTTCGAAACGTACATCTTCTCAAAACTTCGAATCACCTTATTCCAAAGCTTCCAAACCTCCAAATGATAGTCGGCGAACGTCTCGAGAGTGAGTGAGATAGTGCTACATGCGTTCAACAGCTGTTATTGTTATTACTATTCTTATTTTCCGAAATGTACCTAGAAGTGTTCCCTGTGTGGAGCTTCTTTTACTTTGTGTCACGCGCCATTTTGTAAGTTAGGTTAGGTCTCCAAGTATAATTTTTGAAACCCCTCACTCTTCAATGATCATTGAAATTTTTCTTATAATCTTTTGTGAAACATTCCTCAGACGTTAATAAAATAAAACGACAAAAGTTCAAAATATTTAAATGTTAACCAACAAGCTTTACTCCAAATAAGATTTACAAAGTACGAGTTAATAGAATTTCTTTATTTTACAGACGAGGGTGTATACAACACGTACGTCCTAGATTCAGATTATAAATCATGGGCATTGCTCATGCACTGCGCCGAGCAGAGCAAAAGTCCCAGATATTTGTCAAGTTTTATTATGAGTCGAGAGCCAAGTCTCGGAGTTAACGTTATTTCGTATCTTCGCGAGAAATTACCCAGGTGAGTAACAACCGTAATCCCATTTCGTTTTCTGTATAGAACATCTGCTGCACCTACGTGAGAATTTAATTAACGAGAATGTATTTAACGTTATTTCATTGCTTCGAAGGTACGATATCGACCTGGAGTACATGTTCCCCATGGACCAGAACCAATGCAATCAAACGGATACTTCAGAAATGGATATGCTGATACCACCATCGGTGTTGGCTCGAAAAAATAATTCTGGGAGGAAACATCCTTTAAAGAGGAAGCATCGACATGTTTAATTCGGCAGATTTTCAATATTCGAATAATCTATTAAATATTTCTTTTTATAATAACGTCGCAAAGTTTAGTTACAAAATTCTTGAAAAATTAAAAATTTTGGTTTTCAATTTGTATGATTCTATGAGAAGTCATTTATCGCTTGAAGTATAGTTATTAATTGTAAGTTTTGATGATTTGTATATTCTGTACATTTTCTTACGAACTCAATGAAGTTTCTTACTTTTTATAATTTTATAACCTTCTGTTTATAAATGAAACATTGTCAAGATTGAACAGAAATTAATAACTTATGGCACAGATACAAAAGATAATTACATATATATTTTTTCGATATATCACCGTTTGGCGCTGAAATAAATATCACAATAAATATAACAATAAAATCAAAGTGTAAAAGTACTTTGTGATTTTCTATAAATTTGTATTAATTTTTGCATTTTGAGTTTTATGTAGAAAATTTAACACACAGTGCAATAATGGTACCTTATTTATCTAGAGTACGTGTCTGATAAGTTGTCACGTGAGTCGATAGAATCTGCATTGTTTCTGACTGCCAACTTATCAGATATGTATAATATATATTTATATTTTCACATATTGTACATATAATATTCTTCATGTATGTATGTTTATTTAGTTCAAATAATTATTCTTTGATTTATATGTAGCATTTCTTTTTGACGAATTAATGAAATATTGCAAGTTCTAACATTTTTTAACTGTGATCGTTTTGTTTACTATTTAGCATAGAACTTACCATGTGTTGTCAGTGAATTGTCGTAATTTGTGGAGGATTGAAATGTCTGTTGTAAAATGTTTTTTCACATATATACATTTAAAATGTTTTTTCATATATATACATTTTTAATACATTTTTAAAAAAATATTCAATTAATGTTCAATTTTTAATTAATAATAGTTGAACGTGACCTATCAAGCAAGAAAAACAACACATTATTTATAATTATTACGAACATAAAAACAATTGTTTAGTTGGCATAATTATATACTAGTCTATTAAAACATTAAATATTCTATTATTATTTAAAATTTATTAGGAACAACTTGCATTATAAATAAATGCAAGATTAAATAAATACATTTGTGATCAAATTGTGTGAAAGTACACTGAAGTTTATGATTAAGATATGATTCATAATGTACTTAGTAATAAAGTTACAGAAGTAACAATTGTACATATTATTTTGTATTATAATGTTCATCAATGATTTAGCATTTTTGTAATCATGAATTAAATTTGATAAAAGTCACCTGTTTATTGTTCCTCTGTCAACCTTGATTATAAATTAAGTAATTAAAATATATTGTCTTTAATATACATTTTTTAATCTTCCAGTTTTTCAGTTTTTAATTTTTTATATTTTCAAACTTAATTTTCAGATTTTCAAGTTTTCAATCTTTCAGTTTTTCAAATTTGTAAGGTATCAAGCTTTTAATTTTTAAAATTATCAAGTTTTCAAATTTACAAGTTTACAAATTTACAAATTTGCATTTTTCAAATTTTCAATTATAAAAATTAAAAAATGAAAGAATTTCCTAATTCTCAAGTTCTTAAATTTTCAAAGCAATAAGCTTCCACATAATCAAATTCCCAAATTCTCCAAAAACAAATGTAAATTTGTAATACATTTGTAATATTTATAATTTATAAAATCATTTAAAAACTTTATAAGAGCATATGTTTTTAAATATTAATATTTATATAAATATTTTTGAGTAACCTTAAAAATAAATTGTTCACGTTAGGGTTCATAATAATCACATGATTATAAAATGAACGAGGGTATAAATAAAATGACGTTCGACACTTTGGGCTAGTTTTATTAATTCAATTAACAACGTGTTATAATATTCTTCGTCTCTTTCTCTTATTTATAATTACATAATTGTAATGAACTGTTATTGTTTTCTTTAGACCCGTCGTCTTTCAACATCTTAGCGTAACTCATCCAAAGTCGCGGACACACACTTGCAGGAGCATGTAGGATCATCAATCATTGATCATCATTATTATTAATCATCACCATTAGAATTCTAACAGTCGTCGTCAGATAATCACTCAGTGCACCTAGTTACTTAACATTACTGGATATGGCAGCTACAACTTATAAGAAATATTACAAAATCACTGAAGTTTTCGTTCTTCTTACATCTCAATTGTTTTCTCATTCATACTAAACGATCATACCGACACGAGCTTTCCTTCGATTTTGATGCGACGATCCTTGTCACCTAACAAATTTTATATACTTGTTTCCGTGCGAGAAAGTGGTACCTGTTCGTAAATTACGTACACAACAGATTTCTATCCTCCATTTTCGTAACCATCAAAATATACCGTTTAATTTAACCGGGCAATTACCCGATCGATCACTATTATAAACATCGTCTGTTCTGTTCTGTTGTGTCGAGTAGGAAGAACATAGTTGAATCTGCGTGTACGCGTGTGTACGTGTATGTGTGTGTGTGTGGAAACTGTGCCTTGTGTACGCATGTATATGTTTCTCGAGATCTTAATATATAAGTAATTGAGCTGTAATTAAACATTTTTTTTAGTTTTCTGAACAAAGCCACGTGAAGGTCACAACGTTGATCGCGAAATACAACAGACTCACACCAATAACCGTACACCCATTCACTCCTTCGCTTCTACGGGCTGCATATGCAAATGTCCTAGTCACCTAATAATTTAGTGTTAATTAGTTACACAATTAATTCATTTAATCGTTTGTAATTAATTACCTAGACGTTAAATCTGTTTCTCTTGAATCCACGTTACTTGTCGTGTCTCTGTTTTCTGCTTTTTGTGTACTGGTAATCCTCCTATAACACTCAGCATCTTTTCAGAATTACATTATACACTATTTTCTAAAATATTTTTCTTTTCAGAGAAATTAACAATTTTTATAAATTAGCAATTTTTTGTAAATTTCTATATTATTATTTTGAATTGAAATAAATGTAGAACAATATTTTGATTTATATCAGGTCAATTTCATAAGGTTTTTAAATTATTAAAAATTTATACAATATGTTTTTGAACATTTGTATGTATGCTACTTTTGTATTATTTTCATGTATGTACCTTGTGTTAATTTTGTAACATTTGAATGTAAGTACTACTTTTATATTATTTGGTCATATTATTTTCGTGTTACTTTTGTATCATTTGAATTTTCCTATTACTTTTATATTATTTTTATATTGTTTGAATTCACATATTACTTTAATGTTATTTTTGCATCATTTGAATCTTCCTATTACTTTTACATTATTTTTGTCTTGTTTGAATTTATATATTACTGTAATGTTACTTTTGCATCATTTGAATCTTCCTATAACTTTTATATTATTTTTGCATCATTTGAATTTACATATTACTTTAATGTTACTTTTGCATCATTTGAATCTTCCTATTACTTTTATATTATTTTTGTATCATTTGAATTTACATATTACTTTAATGTTACTTTTGCATCATTTGAATTTACATATTACTTTAATGTTACTTTTGCATCATTTCAATGTTCTATTACTTTTAAGTTACTTTAGAACTATTTAAATATAAATATTTTTATGACTTGTGTATACTTTGATGTTCACATTATTTTTATACTACCTTCATATCATTTCAATATTACTTTTATAAATCTTTTGTATCATATCCATGTATTTATTTCATATTTCCTGTATATCTCCTGCAATATTTTTAAGATACATCTTTTAAATGTATATTTCAATGTCGCTTTAATAATTGTATATAATTTTATAAATTTTGAACGTACATATTTTGCATGATTTAGTTTTGTTGTTATAAGAGGATTACACGTGTATAGTGTAAATGGTGTGTTGTGTCACGCGTACGATCGTGTAAGCGTTTCTACAAGGTGTAATTAATGTGCGCGTGTCAGCGTGTACATGTTCTAGACTGCTTCTGTTCTTTAATGCAAGACGGTGTTTAGTATTATTTCATATAGTTGGTAGACTATCTATTTACTTGAGTTTACGTGTTATAAATATTCGTGTAGTAAACCGCGCGTTCTGTTACTTCGTCATTCGATAATGCGCTTTTGTACGAGGATGCAATGCGAACCGAGTGATATTTACGGTGACGTACCATGTATGTCGTATATGTGAAACGCAAAACCCGTAGGAGAACGGTTCGATGAAAGCGCCATCTCCGAGACGTTAAGCTCTCGAGATTGAGAATCAAGATTATATTCGAGGATGAAACTCGAGCGACGTCCCAGTTCCGGCGGGAGGTCGGAATAGGATAGCTCCGGAAGTATGTGGTGATCGAACCGGGAAAAGAAAAATGGCGCTGCTAAGGAGGAAGAATAGCGCTCGCGCAATATACACGTACGAAGGTTTCATCTCGAACGTTCGTCAGATGTTCGAAATTACTAGACGAAATCGGCGAAGTTTCTCTACTGCTTAAAGTTACTGGTAAACGACTAGCTGCCCACGTTAGCCCGATTCTCCCTAGATCGGAACGAAGAGATCGAACGGTTACGGCGAGGGCAGCGAGGTGCTAGCATTTTTTCTTCGCTCTGTATACAATAGTTATAAGAGAGTACGATAGGAGGCAATTATAGGTTACGGATAGAGTCGATTGACAGATTTCGCAATAACGGTACAAGCGTGTCCACTCGGTCAACATTCACGAACAGTTCGAACGACCGTTCCCTCCTTTTAATCCGCTTCGGTTTGATTCTCATCGTTCACCAACTGTGCTTATTTCATCTATTTATTTCGTTACCACTCCGTGGCTACGTACAGACCGCAGACTGACGAGATCAGCGTTAGATTCGTGTACGCGCGTGGCACGAGGAATGTCTCGAGAAATGCAAAGAAGACAGCGGAAAATATAGAGACAGACAGATAGATGGAAAGTAAGAGCAGATGCGAAGAGGGAAAGAGAGAAAACTGCATGGAAAACTATAGCTCCTTAAGAGATTCGAATGGAACAAGCTTGCTTCTAAATTCACCGAAGAAACAATAAGTACCGAGGCTTGTATCCTATGCGGTTTTATTTTTGATTGTCGTGTTCTTCGTCGTATGAGAACCGGATCAGTTTTCGTCTCTTTAACTCTTCCCAACGCGATCGACAATAACGGGTACCGATAAGTGTAATTAACCAGTAGTAGTAACAATTCAGTAGTGATAAAAAAACTGTGCATGAACACACGGCCAAAGTCACGCATTCGAGTCGATATTATGCTGTATACATCGATCGAAGGATTCCCGACGAATTCGTTCGTTCGATTGGTCCGACGCGTTTATACGTGCCTGTCTGTCCCGAATCGGCTACGACTGCGACCCCCATGTCCCTAACTTAGGTACGTTGTAACAGTCTATCGTGGTCGCAGTTAAGCGATCGTAAATGGACCGGTCGTTCGGTGGATCGCGATTCGATGATCACTGTTTCACATTCGACGAGCCGTTGCAGTGGGTGATTTGACGAACTGGAGAGGTTCGCTGTCAGTAGACCCACGACACTGGCACCCACTGAGGTGTCGTGTGAACCCGCTCGATGGCCGCCTCCAGCTGCGCGATCGTCTCCTCGATGTCGTTGTTTACGATGGTTAAGTCGAAAAAGTGGCCGTACGCTTGCTTCAACGAGTCTGACTCCTTCGCTAGTCTTTCCAGGCTTCCATCACACTGAAATCAATTAACTCACTTTAGCTTATTTTCATTGGCTCCTTTCATTTATAATTTCAAAACAGAACTGGTAAATTGCTTAACACTAAACCTACCGGCATATAATGTGGACTTAATTTGAAATTAAAAAATAAATATACAAACGACAAAACATAAATTAGTACACACATTTATTCTTTATCTTAATGAAAATCAATTCTGATTTCAAGAAATGTATTTTAACAAAATGTGTACCTTATAATAAGAAACTTGTGGAGCGGTCATTTGACCGGTTTGGTAGTTTTAGTTTTGAAAGTTGCATTGTTGAAATTGTTTAAAATTATAGTAATACTAATAGCAAGTACAACCATCGCTTTTGCGACGATTGTGACTGGGTGTCGCTCAGATCTACAATAGTTCTGGAACTTTGAGACTAATTGATTAAAAGTTACATTACTATTTAAAATTATAGTAACACTAATAGCAAGTAAAACCATAAATGATCTGCAAATGTATACTAATTAAAATAAACTAATTAAAATAAAGTACATCTAATTCTCTTTAACTTTGACAAAATTTAGTACAGTCTTGAAACGGTGTCACCTACATGCCGATGTAGCTACCTGAGATTGAACTCTCCAAGCGATTTCAATTACGTAACTTATTTATAACAGCAAATTTAGTTAAACGAAAGTGTCAGAGTTCCGTAATTTCATCAATGACCGATTAGTCGGCTAATCAGTTAACTGAACCATAGTTAGCTCCACCTTGCTTCTACAGGTTAACGATCTGTGCTTATGAAGGACTCACTCATGAATACAAAAGATAGTTTTTATTTCAATAAAATCTTCACAAAAATACTATTTTTTATGAATGTACAGTGATATAATCTTAGGAGCAATTTTTAAACCTCAAAATTATTATTCAAGTTTGTCAAGAGATGACAGTATGTGGTCAGTATTATTTCAAAAAACAAAACATGTAAAACTTGCAATTGTTATTGATTATTTTAACCTACTATTTGTCATTTCGTCCTAATAATTTGACATACTAGTCATGTGTTAATTAGATGTGCAGACTTATCTTGAAATTTTTGTCTTGTTTAGAGAAAATTTTATTCTTAGCTTGTTTAGAGAAAATTTTATCCTTAGCTTGGTTAGAGAAAATTTTATTCTTAGCTTGGTTAGAAAAAATTTTATCCTTTGCTTGTTTAGAGAAAATTTTACCCTTAGCTTGTTTAGAGAAAATTTTATCCTTAGCTTGGTTAGAGAAAATTTTATCCTTAGCTAGGTTAGAGAAAATTTTATCCTTAGCTTGTTTAGAGAAAAATTTATTTAAATTTCAGTGCAACATGTTTCTTTGTCTTTTAAATATTTATGAAATGTGTAAACCGTAACTTTGAGAGATTCGATGCTTACATCGGTAATATTCTGGAACACCGGAGCGGCGATGAAAACAACATAAGGTGCAAATTCTGCTGTGCGTAACACCTTTAAAGCTTGTGGCTCCACGTCCAATATCGCCACCCTGCCTTCTTCGTGTATTTTGCGAATCGTTTCGAGTTTCGTTCCGTACATGGCATCTTCGTGTGTACCTACATACAGAAAGAAACAGATTTTTATCAAAATAAAATAAAATTGGGGATTCTGTAAAATGATACTGAATGAGATGAGGAACGTACGAAGAAACATCGGTTATAAAATTCCAAATAAAAATATAAAAGGAAGAAGTGGATTATCGTAAAAAGTGACTTTGTTAGAAAATTTAACGTGAGTATGAAAAATTTGGAATTCTTTGGTTTTATATGATAACTTATGATCTGTGGACGGTTGTAAGTGTAGGTCTCTCCACCATTTTGAATCGTTACTTTCAATATTCGTTGTGGAATGTTTTATATTATTTGATATGTTTTATGGTTACCAAAAAAATTATTATAGAAAGTTATTTATTCTGAGACCTTTCAGTTCTTAATGCAATTTTAAAACTAGTTCTATTTGAAATTATTAAATTATTTTATATAATTTATATCGTTATATGGTTACATGTGTGTACAATACATATGTGTTACACTCTATAAGTTTTTGTAGTGGAATTTAATTTTAATCTATGATCACATATTGTAATGAATATTTTACCATATGTGTACGCAATATAATTTTTAAAAAATCTGCAAGCATACTTTTATTTGCCTCAATAATATTACTTAAAATTGTGTGTATTCTTTGTACGATATTTAGAGGAAATTTAACGAAGTTCTTTTTTAAGATTGAATTATTTATTATTGCTTACCATATTCGAGGTATTCATTAGCAGCTATGTCAGCCATCATTTCGTCATGCGATACGAAATAATAATTGCGTCCGTTTTCTTCGTCGTTCCGCGGAGGCCTCGTTGTATCTGAAAAATGAATTTCAATATCTTTAACTTGAAAATAATACACGAAAAAAATTTGCTAAAATATTGTTAAATTATTTATAAATCTTGCAGTAATTTTAAGAACCTAATGTATTAAATTTGGAGTGATATAACTGTTTCAAATAAAATTATAGATAGGTTGTTTTACACTATGTACAAATAATTCAAGACTTTTAGTTGCAGTTATCATGTTAGATGTATTGTTGCGTGCATTGTTGTGCTCCAATTCAATGAACGTGGAGAAGTGTATCTAAAAATATTAAATTTATGGGTTTGAAGATAGAAGCACAAAGGATCCTTTGCTTTACAAACGATGAAGATCCATCTAGCTGACATCATAAAGCGTACCGAAGAAAAGGAGACGAAGTATGTTTTATGAACCAGATATTTGATTTAGAACGCCTTATACCAAAAAGGAAAATTATGCTTCTTCAGATAATAGTTATGACACGTCAGAAATATGTGAACAATGAATTCTTTAGTTATATTATTTTTGAAATGCTCAAATTTAGTATTTATAATTGCAATCATTTTTGATTTCGTTTGACTAATAAATTGGAATATTTAAACTTGCGAAAACTACTGCATGTATTTATACTTAATTTCTAATAATATCGCAAGAATATTTGAATATGTTTCGTAAAGAAAAAGTTAGAGAGAACAAAAGAATTACACTTACGTGGAATAGGATAGGCATATTTGTCAGGATGCTTCGCAATAATTGTATTCTTTATGTGACGACGACCAACACCATGTGCTCCAAGTAACACTAATGTTTTCCGCTGAAATGCGGGATCTGTAACAAAAATTATATAATAACAGCATCTTCAAATAAAGTAATATATCGTCTAATAAAATGTAGAAAAATATCTTTGAGTTTCTTCTTTGAATTTAACAAAAATTGAACAGATTTAATTTCTGAAGAAACAACTGCACAAATTTTGCAATAAAAAATTTTAAAACAGCTAGAAGTTTCCCTTGTTCTAGTAACGTCGTAAATGCATAACACGAATTTTATAGGCAACCATTTTTCAAAGTCTCATTCGTTTATCTTCAATCTTTTGAGCGTCAAAAAGTGATATATGTAACTGTTGGGTAATATCTCTTCTTAAAATACCGTGACATCTAAATATGAACGGCGATATACTAAAAGAACGTTTAACATTAACAATATTGTATTAATATTTACACAGAATTTTAATTACAATATTTTAAACGCTGTTGCGTGTGTAATAATAAAGGTTATGATAACATGACTAATTATAAATTAATGCTTCAATCCAAAAGGTTATTTTATATGGCAGGAATAATTTACGGATTCATATTATTGTCTCGGACAAAAGTAACAAATAGAAGGTACCGATGTCAACCCACGCGTTGGCGCGTGAGAGGCTGATGTCTTTAAAAGAACTACAATTGATCCGAATAGAGCCTCACACGTATTTCTAGTAGTATTAATTCGAGCAGTCACAATTAGGCCAAAACCGACAGGCGTCTCGAGAGCGAGATAGTGCTACGTTCAGCAGTTGTCATTGTCATTATTATTCTTATTCACCGAAATGTAACTGGAAGTGTTCACGGTGGGAGCTTCTTTTACTTTGAATCACGCGCCAACTAGTGGGTTGACATCTGTAATATTTAGTTTGTTTAACAAATGTTTTACTTACAAGGAAGCTTAACGACCTCTTCGTAGGTGACCAGATCCAGCTGGTCAAAGACTGCGTTGTGTTTCGCGAGATACTTATCCTTGTACTGCTTCTTCTTCCGGCCAAATATTGAGCAATTCACTGGAAACGCAAAAAAACTAGTTAAGTATTTCAATAATCTGCAAGTCTAAGGACTAATCTGCAATCGTTCGTAGTCCTGTAAACAAACAATTCCTGATCCCTTTCAATTAAATCAATTCCCTGTAGAGTTCTGACTTACGTTTCCTTATGACTGCAATATAGACAATTAGATTTATTTTAATCGACGCTGGTCTTGAAAGATTAATATCCGTAGTATAGGCTTTTCACCTTGAAAAATAATATCTGCGATTTGAAACAGCTTTTGTTGCATTATTGTCAGCTAATGTGGTATGAAATACTGGGCCAGTGGTTCTCAAACTATGAGTAAGAGTGAAATTTTTGAATTTTTGTGTTTGACGTTTTGGAATGTTCAGAATTTGGGACATTTAGAATTTTGAAACTCTGAAATTCTGAATCATGGAACTTTTTATTTTTTGAATTTTGCAACTTTTGAACACTAAAATGTTAGAATTTACAAATTTTTGAACTCTGAAGCGTTTTAAAGTTTCGAAGCTTCATAACTTTTCGACTTAATACTCTCATCAAAAGTACAGTAAATCTATAAAATTTGAGAACCACTGTATTTCAAAAAACCTAACAAAATTTTACTATAAAAATTTACAAAGAATTGTACTTTACGTACAACGTTAACGAGTTACTTAACCTATCATATCAGAACGCTTGCAATATTAATTTACATACCTAGAAATTGTTTAATACTGAAACTCAATCATCATACAGTTTATACGCATTTTATTAAACTCTAAAGAGAACTGTATATGCAGGTTGTTTTATAATATCGAAATTGGTATTCTAATACAGAAAGTCTATCAAACATAACCTTTAAATTATAACTTTAGCTCAAATTATTTACATACATTCATATCAGTTCTTTTTTAACTAACACAAAAAATGTAACAATTGTAATTTTAACTTTTTTTCTTATAAAATATACATTTGACAGTTGTACCATTAGTTACGAAGTATCAGGAAAATAGGCGGCCATTTTGGTAGCGCAGCGGAAAAGTTCATGTAAACATATGTCCAGAAACGCTTTCTTTCTCAGATAAACACTTTGTATACTTTTCCATACAGTTTGCACGTTGAAATATTGTAGCAATGTTTAAAATTGACTTTTAAAAATCGCTGAAACTTTCTCTGCAATATTATTGGACTTCTACCAGAAAAAAACGATAACGGAATTCATAATGTTACAGATTCTACTCGCATCAGCTATTTATAAATATTTAAATAAAAATGTTTTGATGCATTTTGTGAAGAAATTCCTATTTTTCTAAATAAATATGGATTTTAATATTTTTAACGGATTTTAGTTTTTAGCAGTGGATTCACTGTTAAATTTCATATTTGGCGCCAAATTACCAAGGTTTACCTATTTTCCTACCACCTCGTTTCTAAAGTCTGGATTTATTTTGTCCCCATTTGTAATTTTTTTATTTCAACTAAAATGGCGAGGATTACCAGACATCTACATTAACTGAACCTACCCAGAAGTTAATCCTTTAACCAGCTTCCCTGTAATCCAAATACCGTTTCTAATACGATTATGGGCTACTCGAAGTCACGTTCTTGAAACAAACTATAAGTACATATATTGTCTGATCGACACATTCTGTGTATTATAATACTATCTATATTTACAAAATAACTTTGCAATGCATACTTTAATATTATTACTGTACACATTATTATTTTGTAATATAATCGTTGTAGGTAATGACAATGAAAAAGTGTAATAATATATTTACAGTAAGCTTAATTGATGTTAGGGAGAATTGAAATGTTAAGTTGTACTAGCAATTCGAAATAGTAAACTTAATTTTAAAATATTACATATTTTGTTTGATATTGCTGCATACTATTTAAAATATTTACAATTTTGTTATAATAATACTATAATAACTTTGTAATACAATACCATGATTAATTTACTAATTATCAATTTAGTATGGTTTACTAATTATTAATTTACTATTATATTTTACTGGACAATTTTGATATTTTTTACAATTTTACAATTTTACAATTTTGTAATTTTGTAATTTTGTAATTTTGTAATTTTACAATTTTATAATTTTACAATTTTACAATTTTACAATTTTACAATTTTACAATTTTACAATTTTACAATTTTACAATTTTACAATTTCACAATTTCACAATTTTACAATTTTTTTTACAACTTTTTTACAATTTTTTTACAATTTTTTATTATATTTTAGTGAACGATACTATGAGATCAGCATCAATACAGTTTACTATTTCGATTTTTCACTGGTAACACTTCTAGTACAGGGTGTTCCAAAATTGTCGTACCAGTGAGTTAATATTGATCATTATACTTCCATTACTATGTACATTCTTTTTTGAGTAATACATAAAAATGTACCATTCTTTATTTATTAAAAAACAGCCTGCATATAATCGAAAGTCTCAAGAGACTATTATAGACAATAAATATACTGTTACATATTAAATGGTGGATTTTGGAACATGTGAAGTCTGACACCATTTCATGACATTAATGTATCGCAAAATGGCGGACAGGTCGAACTAAATATTCAGGTTTTGAGAAAAATAGTGATATGAACATTTAAATTTTCAGAAGACATTCATAATTATTATTTCAAAATTGTTTGCTATTAATTTGTAGATTGTAGATAGTTTGTAGATAATTTGGAGAATTTGTACATTTTCTAATTTGCAAATTTGAAAACTTTAATGTTTCTCAATTTTTATATTTAGAGATCTTTAAATCGAGAGATGGCAAATTTATAAATTTTTAAGTTTGCAAATTTGAAAATTTCAGACTCTATAATTTAAAAAAATTCAAATGCAATAGACTTGAAAATTTTCAGATTAAAAAATTAGCCAATTTGCAAATTAGTAAACTCTAAAATCAAATCTCAACATTTTCATACCTCTAAAAATTGAAATTTGAAACTCTCTAAACTTTCCAATTTTTAAAATTTCTAAATTTCTCAATTTTTTAAATTTCAAGGCTTATAAATTTAAAAACTTGAAAATTTAAATTTCCATTAAAATTATCAACAAACTTCTGTGCACCCAAACTTTCCCAAAACCTCAATTTTCAAAGTACCATAAGCACTGCCTAGCGTTACATTCGTATCACAAAATGGCGTCGCGCTCCAGTATCCAAAATGACCTCCCATCATCCACGCAACAGTCCGAAACAATCGAAACGCTTTCAAACGAACAAGAATTAATAAAACGAATTGATATCAACTGCTACGTCATTCAATAACGCACGTTCCTTCGATTCGCTCAAAGTGTAATCGTGTAATAGGCAGCAACCGAAATACAGCTGTCTATATGCAAACCAGCATCCTCTTTGGACGTTCGAACAATCAGCGTTTGAACGCGCAATAGAAGTGAAGAACTACTTCGTATATAAATGTCGATCACTGTGTAAGCGTATTTTTTTCTAAATGGTGAAGAAATTTCATTCATTCAGCCAGTTTACATAGAAGCCATAACCATAAGGAGAGCGTGGGAGTCCCACTTGTGAGATGGGTGTTCCAGCAGGTCACAAGATGAAAGTTTGGGGTCGGCTGATTTTTGTGTCTTTTTGTGTTGGAAGCATGATTATGGCGAGTTTGAACGATTGCTATGGTTAGTTTTTATGAATTATTTGCAAACTCAATTTTTTCACGATGACTTAAATAATTTACATCTTATGATTTACATCATATGATTTACGTCATATGATTTACATCTTATGATTTACATCATATGATTTACATCTTATGATTTACATCATATGATTTACATCATTGATGATTTATATCATTTACAAACAATCAATTATTGTATAAACATAAATATATGAACCTCAAATTGAATGTAGAACTTGTGGTAAGATGTAGCAAAGGATTATGAAGGGTTTATTAATTATTTATGTTCTTTTGCTTTACTTTGTGATGTTGTTTAAGAAATATAAACATGAATTATCAAATATGGAAATTTAGGAACCTGGATATTTGGAAAATTGAAAATTAAGAAAATTTAAAATTAAAAATCTGAATATGTAAATTAAGAAAATGTGAAAATATGAAAATCTGAATGAAAGAATTCAGAAATATGAAAATTTATAAAATTGGAAATTTAAGAATTTATAAATTGGAAATATTGGATTTTAAAAATTAATGAATTTAAAAATATGGAAACTTGAAATAAAAAATTTCTTACACTCGCAAACTTCAGTGTGAAAATTTAGAAATTTGAATGCAACAATTTACTGCATTGCACTCTAGTTACATTAAAAAAAACTAGAAAAGTGCAATATACAAATAAAACTAACCATCAATTAAAATTGCTATAGTCTAACAATGAACTAAAATTTGTCCCAAAAAATCATATTCAATGAATTCTAAGAAATTAAATTTTTAAATAAATAAATTTCGATGAAACAAAAGAATTCTGACGGAGAATTATTTTCTCTCGAAGCACTTGCAAGTAAATTGAAATACTTGCAAGCTCCGCTTTCATCAAATTAGTAAACGATTATTAAATTTGTCGTTCAAGATCTCAACATAATGATGCCTAAAACGGTGTGCTTGCGTGTGGAATCGTGCGAAACAAGCGTGAGTGCGTGAAACGTTTAGCGAAAGCATGCATCGAAGCACGCCGCGTGAAAGCATGTTCTATATATCATGTAGAGTAACTGTTCATGATACAACGCTAAAACAATGAAGATCTACCGTGTCATCAACTTCGCATGAAGAAGTGTTCTAATTACCCTGCGTAATGGTTTCATCGGTATAGAAACATGAATGGATGTCATTTTACTGTGACGGACTTAACCTTCAAAATTTCGCGTATTGATTCATGTGTTATTTTTGATATTTTTCGAAACGATGAAAATGATTTTATGTATTAAAAGTACTTGAATTATGTGTCTTGAATGATTCTGTACAAAAAGTACTTGAATATTGTGTATACAATGTATTTATGCTGGT